TATAGTAACCATATGGAACCCCATGTGAGATTTTCTTTTTTGAAAAAAATAAAAGCCTTGCTTTAGAACCTGTAGGAATTTTTGCTACAGTGAGATCTGTATAACTGACAATGTTTGTGGGTTTTACTTCAGCTGCCAAGAAATTGGAAATCACATAAACAATGCAGATAGGGCCAGGCATAGTAGTTCATGCCTGTGGTCTTGGCACTCTGGGAGGACGAGTTGGGAGGATTGCCTCAACTAAGGAGTTTAAGACCAGTCTGAGCGAAGTGGGACCCCATCTCTACTAAAAGTAGAGAAATTAGCCGGGTGTTATAGTAGGTGCCTGTAGTTCCACCTAGTTGGGTGGCTGAGGCATGAGGATCACTTGAACCCAAGAGTTTAATGTTGCTGTGAGCTATGACAACACCATGATACTCTTCCCAGGGTGACAGAGTGTGGCTGTGTCTCAAAAAAAGTTTTGTTTTTTTTTTTTCTTTTTTCAAATAAAACAACGGTATAGACATTTTAAGACCTACATTAGTTTTAGTTTTTGCTCTTTTTAATCTTGTCATAAATTTTTGTTTCAATTTATTTTTTTCTTTTTACTGACTGTGTTGTATGTAAGATGCTTATATAATCTTTTTGATATGAGATGGTACAGGTATGGATGACTCTATTCACATAACTAGATTTTTGCCAGTTTGCAACTAGAAGTGTATACTTTCTCTCTTATACCTGGCTGATTGTATGTACTCTTGGCCTCACCTCAGTCTGCCCTGCTAGTTTTAGGGTGCATGTAACTCCTCTTATTGTAGCAGTTAGTCATTGCTCTGGGCTGACTGACGCATGGAGTTCCTGCAGAGCAAATGTAATCTGTGTGCTCCAGGGTTATATAAATATACTTCATTTATGGGGGTTTATTAGGCTCTTAACTGCCCGCTTTGACCTACAAACTATCCATTTCTAATATCCAGAAAATAGTTACTAAGTATCTATTATGTACTAGGTATGGTGTTAGGTACTAGGATGAAAAGGTCAAACGTAGTCCTCGCTCTCACGTGATACCAGTTGCCTTGTACAAAACCAACTCAGGAGCCCAAGTGTGTGCAATCTTGCATAAATACAGAAAAGCAATGACTAGAAGGGGTGTTTTACTTCTAACCTCACAGTGGTGATCAATTATTGCGGTAGGACCTCTACAAATCAAATTGGATGACTTCCTTGCTCAAAAAATCTATTTCTTCCGTGTCTTCAACATCTTAATATGATTTATGGGCATGAAGCTAATTGTTAATCTGCCTCCACCTGCCCTTCTTCCATTTTTTGCCGTACCCCTAAGTCTCCTAAATGTCTTTGCCTTTGTGGCTTATCAAATGCATTATTATATTCTGGCATTCCAAGGACTTGAGGATGTTGTTATATGTTATTTGACGTATTCTGTATTCAAATAAATCTGAGCTTAAGAAAGTTAACACCTAAATCTCCTGAACCTTTTCACCTTTGTGGCCTAGCAAATGGAATACTGTATTCTGGCATTTCCAAGGACATGAGGATGTTATATGTTATTTGAATTATTTGGTATTCAAATAAATCTGAGCTTAAGAAAGTTAGACAGTGTTCTTTTTACAGATATTCTCAGAGCTTTTAATTGTACCATCAGGCTCTGTGAATTCCTCAGGGATGAACATAGTGTCTTGTGTTTTCCAAATTTATCAGATCTTAGAAACCCACCAGTTTTCTCCAGTTCTCACATAAGACTAGTATTTTGTGGTGTGACTTTGGGATATCTTTTTTTGTATCCTCAGATTGGAGTTCTTTGCATGTCTCCCTGTTCAACACTTCGTCTCATTTTAAGGTCTAGCACCAGTGTTAATACCCTCCAAATCGAAGCTGTCTCTTTTCTATTAGATTATCCTTCATTTTATAGAAGCCTGTTTTTATTATAGAAAACCTCTGTCATAATACCTGTTGTACTATATGCACTGCATTCTCTTTATTTCTTTAACTAAAATAGCCTTGAGATCGGAGTCTGTTTTTAAGCTGTGTATCCACTGGTGGATACCACAATGTCTGGGGCAAAGTAGTATTGATTGTTTATTCATTTAATCAGGTAATTTACTGTGTTTGCTATAAATCAGTGTTTCACATATTTTCTACCTTTCTACCAGTCCGCTCTGTGAAACTCAAGGAAGATATTCTGTCCTGCACTTTTGCTGAGTTAAGTTTCGGTTTATGCCAGTTTATCCAAGAGGTGCGGAGACCAAATGGTGAAAAATATGATCCAGACAGTATCTTATACTTGTGCCTTGGAATTCAACAGGTATCAAATTAAACAGTTACTATAAAATTAATTGCATTTTTACTGAGAGAACATATGCACTAAGCTGAATAATTATAATATACTTGATATTGCTTCTATACTGCCTTCTTTTTGAGACAGAATCCCACTGTGATCACAGCAACCACAAACTCTTGGACTCAAGCGATTCTCTTGCCTCAGTCTCCCAAGTAACTGGGACTACAGGTGTGCGCCGCAATGCCTGACTATTTTTAGAGACAGATCTTTGCTCTTTCTCAGGCTGATCTTGAATTCTTAAACTCAAGCAATTCACCCTCCTTGGCTTCCCAGAATGCTAGGATTATGGGCGTGAGCCTGGCCCAGTATACTCCCTTCTTAATGAACCACTGACCCTAATATAAAAGTTTTGATCAGCCCAAGCCACATAGCAAGACTTTGTCACTGTAAAAACAGGAAAACTAGCCAGGTGTGGTGGTGTGCACCTGTAGCACCAGCTACTCAGGAGACTGAAGCAGTAGGATCACTCAAGTCCAGGAGATGGAGGTTGCAATGAGTTTATGATGCTGCTGCTCCACTCTTATCCGGGCAACAGAGTAAAAACCTGTCTCAAAAAAATCTTTAAATGTCTTGATCGCATACCCTTTTGTAAGCTAAATTGAGACTATTAATAATAGAAATTATACATGGTGTATTTTATAGTAGGTAAATACAAAGAGCATAAATAGCAATTTACAAAAGAGCATGGATGATTATGTTGTATGTGCGTGTATATATATAAAAATCATGTAGTTTCATTTTTAAAATTTAAATTGAATAGATACAATAGATAAATAGCATTTTTGTCTATCACATTGGCAAAGATGAAAAATTATAACACCTTGTTGATTAGAGTTCTGTGAAGTGGGGGTCCATCTGCATAGCTAATGGTAATTAGTACATACTTTCCTAAAAGTGTTTCAGGAATATTTTTAAATTTTCATATTCTTTGGGTGGTAATTTAGCTTTTTCAAGTCTTCAAATTAATACTCTGCAGTCCAGATACTATCCCACAAAATTGAATATAACTTCAGTGTCCACCAAAGTGTGATTATCAGGGACATTACAATATATTCATAAAATTGTATGTTATGTAGGCAATAAAATTGTTCACAAAGTGGCTTCTAGTAACATAAAAATCTTAATATTTAAGGCATTAATAAACAAAATAAGAGTATAAATGATACTAAATAAAACGAAACATAAAATGTTTACAGTGGTTACCTCTGAGTGGTAGAACTCTGTAAGTTACTGATTTTCTTGTTTTCTCTTTTTGTCAAGTTTCTTCCATTTGTATAGTGGGCATTATGTGTACATATTGTATTTAGGCATTTCTTTGCACCAGATACATTTTTCTGCAGTTTGCTTTGCTCAATGGAGATATTCCTCCATGTCAATGTAACTCAAACTCCTTCCTTTAAAAATGTGTGTAATACTGTAGACTTTATGAATATACTGGTTATCTCTCTTTAAGATATTTAGGTTGTTTTTCTCTCTTTGCTTACCATTGCTCTCCCCTTCCACCCAGGATTATGTTTAATTAAATTTAATGGATTACAGTTAAGTCAGGATTTCTTCATTAGACTTAATTTACTTCTCTTGTACGAACAGCACCTTCTAGTTCACTATACGAATATATATTCTTGGTAGTTAACATACAGTTGCCCATTTTATATTTAAATGTAATAAATATTTAAAAACTAATACTCTTAATTTTATTAGTTGAAAAATTACAGATGTTTTGGGGGTACAAAGTGAAGTTATGAGTTATGAATACAATTTTGAATAGTTAAAGCAAGCTAATATATTTATCACCTCAAAATGCTTTTTGTGGTGAGAATATTTGAGATTTACTTTTAGCAATTTTGAAATGTACAATACACTATTATTAACTGTGTTCACCATGCTGTGCCATAGATCTCAGGAAAAACACACTTACTCCTTCTGAGACTTTGTACCCTTTGATCATCATCTCCCCAGCACATACACAGACAGACCCCAACTCCCATCGCCACCCAGCTTCCGGTAACCACCATTCTGCTCTCTGTGTCTGTGAGTTTGTTTTAGATTCCACACATTAGTGCAGACGTGCAGTATTTGCCTGGCTTATTTCACTTAGCATAATGTTCTCCGTTTCCATCTGTGTTGTTGCAAATGACAAGACTCTCCTCCTTTTTAAAGGCTGAATAGTATTCCATTGTATATTTATACATTTTCTTTATCCATTCATCTGTTTGTTGTCAAGCAGATGACAACTTTGTTGACAAGTTGTTAAGTTGATTCTATAACTCTGCTATTTGAATAGGAGTATAATGAACATGGAAGTGCAGACATCTTTTATGACAAGTGCATTTCACATATTTGGGATAAATACATAGAATTGAGATTACTGGATCATATGGTATTTTTAGTATATTATTATATATCCATAAAGGCTATAGTAATTTACATTCCCACTAACGGTGTACAAGAGTTTTCTCTGTATCTTTGCTATTAAAAACAATGCTTTAGGCTCGGCGCATGAAGCTCAAGCAGCTAGGGCACCAGCCACATACACTGAAGCTGGTGGGTTCGAATCCAGCCTGGGCCTGCCAAACAACAATGACAACTACGACCAAAGAAAAAAACAATAGCCAGTATTGTTGCAGGCGCCTGTGGTCCCAGCTACTAGGGAGGCTGAGGCAAGAGAATCGCTTAAGCCCAAGAGTTTGAGGTTGCTGTGAGCTGTGACACCACTGTACTCTACCCAGGGCGACAACTTTAGACTCTGTCTCAAAAATAAAAAAAATACAATGCTTCAGTATATAGTTTGTTGTGTACTGTATTTTACCAGAGGAAAGCATTTTTTTTTTCAATATTAAGATTATTTTCAGGTTACTCTCCAGAATGGTCGTAATGATTTCCAGTCTTTCCAAAAGTGTGTGCAAGTATACCTTTCTTGAATCCTCTTTCACACACTCCTTTTTTTAATTTATGTTTTGGTTTTTTTTTTTTTTTTGAGACGGAGCCTCAAGCTGTCCCCCTGGGTAGAGTGCCATGGCATCACAGCTCACAGCAAACTCCAACTCCTGGGCTCAAGCGAGTCTCCTGCCTCTGCCTCCCAAGTAGCTGGGACCACAGGCGCCCGCCACAACGCCCGGCTATTTTTTTTTTTGGTTGCAGCCGTCATTGTTGTTTGGCGGGTCCAGGCTGGGGATTCGAACCCGCCACCTTAGGTGTACGTGGCTGGCGCCTTAGCCGGTTGAGCTATAGGCGCCGAGCCAATTTATGTTATTTTAATGGGTAAAATAACCATTTCATGGCTTCATTTTGTATTCTTTCAATTTTTGTAAAGTTAAATGTCTTTTGTTAGTCATTTGGATTTTTTTTTTTTTGAGACAGTCTCACTATGTTGTCCTTGGTAGAGTGCTGTTGTGTCAGAGCTCACCGCAATCTCAAACTCTTCGGCTTTAACGATTCTTTTGCTTCAGCCTCCCAAGTAGCCAGGACTACAGGCGCCCACCACAACACTTGGCTATTTTTTGGTTGTAGTTGTCATTGTTGTTTGGCAGGCCCGAGCTGGGTTTGAACCCACTAGCTCCAGTATATGTGGCTGGTGCCCTAGCTACTGAGCTACAGGCACCAAGCCTGGATTTTTTCATTTCTATCTGTAGGATCACATTTTTACATTGGGAATATTCTTTTTTTTTAATTTATTTTATTTTTTATTTTTGCAGTTTTTTGGCTGGGGCTGGGTTTGAACCCACCACCTCTGGCATATGGGGCTGGTGCCCTACCCTTTTGAGCCACAGGGGCAGCCACATTGGGAATATTCTAATATGGATGTTCAGAAGAAAATGTTCTAGTTTTCTCTGTCTTTTAGTTTTTATGTTGCACTTTGCCATTTAGAATTTTTCTTTAAGGCCAGGCATGGTGGCTCATGGCTGTAATCCTAGCAGTCTGGGAGGCTGAGGCAGGTGGATTCCCTGAGCTCAGGGGTTCAAGACCAGCCTGAGCAAAAACAAGACCCCGTCTCTACTAAAAATAGAAAAATTAGCTGAGCATGGTGGCACGTGCCTGTAATCCCAAGTACTTGGGAGGCTGAGGCAAGAGGATTGCTTGAGGCCAAGAGTTGGAGGTGGCTGTGAGCACTCTACCAAGGGTGACAAAGTGGGACTCTGTCTCCAAAAAATAAACTAAAAAAGAAAAAGGAGTTTTCTGTATAGTTCCAGGGTTTTCTGTGTTGCTAGTATGGTCTTCCTACTTGAGTATAAGAATTTAAATTTTTATAAATTTCTAAAATACTTGTGTTTTTAGATGCCTTAATCCACCTGAAAATTCATTTTCTATACATGATGCCAGATCTGATGAACAGTACTTCTGATGGTAGTGAAATATGCAAGCAGCATTCATTTCCCCAGGGAAGTGAAATAGCACCTTTGTTTTAATTTCTGATATTTCGATCCAGAGTTACTTATTAAATTAAAAAATGAGAAGTTGACTCGGCTCCCATAGCACAGTGGTTACGATGCCAGCCACATATACTGAGGCTGGCAGGTTCAGACCCAGCCCAGGCCAGCTAAACAACAATGACAACTACAACAAAAAATAGCTGGGTGTTATGGTGGACACCTGTAGTCTGGGCTACTTAAGAGGCTGAGGTAAGAGAATCACTTAAGCCCAAGAGTTTGAGGTTGCTGCGAGGTGTGACGCCATAGCACTCTACCAAGGACAACAAAGTGAGACTCTGTCTCAAAAAAAAAAAAGAAAAAAGAAATTGTTTTTTAGCTTCTTTCGACAAAAATTTATTGAGCACTTACTATGAACTATGCAGGTATCTTGCTTAAAGGTGAAATTTCAAACCTGTACTCTTAAATTTTGTACAGATTAAAATTTTATCAATACAGATGCCAAGGATTAAGATGTGATGTTGTGCTGGTTATTAGTATACTAATAGCTTGAATATATTTAAAACATGCATGGTCATTGCAATGATTTTAATAACA